AAAAAAAAAAAAAAAACCCAATGATGTTTGATTCTGCCACGGGAAACTGTAAAGATACCGTTACTGATTGATTGATTCAGTCCTTTTTCCAGTTGCACAAAGGCGGGTGAGAATACAATGGGATATTCGGTCTCCAATGACCGGTGTACTCCCTTCCCCCGCCCCCGGTCAAGAACGGTAGACCACACCACCAGGTTTTACGTCTAAGATCAAGAATTGATATTCATAGGGCGATTGTTGATCGCATATCTTGCGTGATACTAACTTTGTGTCTGTGGATGATATCTTCAAGCACTTATGTACCTCAAAGGTGCTGACTTATATGAACAGCGCATGTCAAAAAAGTTTTCAAATGCATCGCCTATATCTTTGCTTAAAAGATAACTTCAGCATTTCTCAAAGTGGCCTTACGTATCAAAATGATGAAAGGTCGCTGACCTGTTTACCCATGGGCTCAGGATTTGTGATAGTAGTGCTAAAGTAACCGTCCCATTCCAGTCGTCCATACAGTCCTGCCCAGTTATTATGTCGGTTTCCCGTATGAGGAAGACACCATGGAACGAGGGTGTTAAACTGCCGGTCAGCGGGGTCACAGGCCCTGCCTTCGGCGCATGAGCATACACCGCGTAAGACACCGTTAGGTGAGCGGCCATTTTTCTTGTCGTGGTGCGTGTACGCTCTGCAAGAAAACACGAAGTATTCCTTTGAAGTTAGGAAACCTAAAATTAAAACTCACCTACAGGACTGAACAAAAGTCACAAGTGAAAACTGCTGACGACAAGGTAATGTGGGACTGCAGGGTTCATACAAATTTTTGGAGCCAAATTTCAAGACTTTTTCCAGACTTTTTTTCAAAACAAAAAATTCTTTTTACAGACGCAAGGTTATCAAATGGGTGATCAACAGAGACCTTGAAAAACGAAGGAACCAGTCTTTTCTCATGATTTACTACAAAGGTACAGTAACCACGGGGCAATGCGGTCATACGAGAGTTCTGGAGATTCTCATTGTGTGATTAAACGGGAAAAAAAGCTTCACTTACTAAGCACTTCCTGCAGCTTTTGCTTCAGACTTTCTCTCTATTTTCCAGACTTTTCCAGGTATGGAAAATTGCTATGCAAATTTCAAGACTTTTTTCAAGAATTCAAGACTTTGTATGAACTCTGTGGGAGGCAATCTACATCAAATTGCCTTATTTCTCAACAGAACTGATCCCAGTGTCAAGCAGAAAATCACAGGAGAACAAGGACAACATACAAGTAGGTAAAAATAAAGCGAACTTACAGTTTCTTGGTGTAAGTACCGTCAGCAAGACGAACTTCAATATTTGGCAAGTCTCTCCAGTCTGAGCCGGGCGTCAACGGAATATAACGCATGCGTACTGCAACAAGGGTATTCATTTCCTTGCAGATGTGATCTTTAAGGACTGGTTGGTACTGGTGACCGCGGATCTAGTGAACAACAACAAAAAAACTTATAGTGGCCTAGTATTCACCAAATTCTAGGTCAAAGTCTTAGCACTGCGTGTTAGTTTTATCTCACTGTCTGTTAAGGCAGTGGTTTTGCTCAAATTATCGGGCAAATCCTCTCTATAAGAGTAAAGATACTTAGCAATAAAAATTCGGTAGCGCCGAGGCATAGAAAAAGGCAAAAGGCCTTACTTCCGGTTGACATGCGTCACCGAAAAACACCTTTGCTTAAGTTCTCCAATCTTAGAAGAAAGGACGTCGACTTTCCTTACTCGTCCTCTTTTACTTTTGTTTCCTTACTTTTCTGAGTGAGCCAAACACACAAGCTCACCGGCAGTCACCTCAGGCATGGGGACGTGAGAGACGCTGCAATCGAACTCACACTGCACTCTATTATACGCGCCATACCCTCGCCATGAAATTTTGTGGTGCATTTTAAAAAAGGATAGAGAAGGTTTTCACCTTCACAACGAGCGCTTTACCACTCCAACCTCCAAATAATACAAGTGAGGGTGTTGTGGAATAAATTCTTTTCGCAGTCCAGCAAGGGATGGGCATTAAAAAATTTCGGGCGAAGATCTCGAAGTTGCCTGCACAAACTTCAAATCCGTCGTTCAATTTGTCAAATGTTGGTAAATTTTTCTGAATTTGAATTCTAAAGGGCTGTATGTAAGTTGAAAAAAGAATTAGAAAAGCCGTTGACTTGTGTTCAGGTCCTCTAAAGAAGAAAAATTCGCAGTTTCACTTCGTAGCCGCGCAAGGACGGCAAAGAAATGTACAAAAAAGCGTGCTGCACGTGCAAAGTTGTTGTTTTGCTTAACTAAATATTGCTTTTATGTCATTCTCCTTGCCGTCATCGACGTCGTTGCTAAAAATCCCTATAATGACAAAAATGACGAATCTAAAATGTTGTGGAGAACCGAAAACACTAACCTGCCTCTGGAAATGCGAGATGGCGTCACCGCTGTACGATATTTCGCCGTTTGAAGCACCATTCCTGATCTCCGGCAGGTCCGACATGGAGTCGCGCACGGTGATGGTTCGGTAAGGAGCCGAAGATAGCCGAGTGATGTTCGATTCGAACTGAAAAAAAAACAAACAAATTTAACGCCATTTTACTCAGCTTAACGATCACGGAGCAGTCGCTTGTGTGTGGTTTAAGTAACGAATAGTGAGGTAAGCTGTATTTATGATTAAGCTGTAAATTTATACCTTCCTGTCGTCCACCATAACAGTAAGCTGAATTGCCCGAGGAGAGAAACAGTGGGTAGGCTCAGGGTACAGCGGTAATACCTCACCAGGCGCAGCCGCCATTATTATGGCTCTGAAAATCAAACAAAGCTCAGATTAGAAATTTTGATGACGACCGCCATGAGGAGCTGTGAACTAACCATAAACAGGCTCAGAAGTATATACTGAAAACTGATTACTCAAAAATGCTGATGATGCTTTTAATCACTTACGTTTTTAGAACAAAAAAATGGTGTCTTGCATATTACATGTATATTGTCGTGAAAAAATTTGGGTATATGAAGATATGTTAAAATGTTGAAAGGGCGAGCATCTACCCTGTACAGGTCTGTACAGGGCCTTGAGAACACTGTGCATAATATCAAAAACATTAACAACTGTGGTTGTCTTAATACCTTCGCCTGGTCTGAGGAACACCATAGCAACCAGCCTGAAGTACTCCAAACGTACACTGTAATATAGGCAGTGAACATACAAATTAAGCAAAGTGAAAGATCATTGACGCAAGTAAATAAAAAAAGCTTTCACGAGGACGAGAAGATAGCTCTAAATAGGCTCTCTCTGAAGCACAACCAACGAGGGGTCTGATGCGGGAGATAATTCTCTGGCGCCTCGGTTAGCTCGTTGCTCGCACACGAGACCCTATTGCGTGTCGCGCTTGAGCGACCTTCGCAGCAAACCGACTCACCTGGTAACCCATCTTGATAAGGCAGCGTAACGTTAACTTCAGAACCATGTTCCGCTTAAAAGATACAAAGTTACGAACATTCTCGAGGATGAAAAATCTTGGTCTATAAAAATCGCAGTAACTAAGGTATGATGCAACCAGGGAATTCTGAAAAAGAAAACAATATAATCACAGTTTAAAGCAAAACGGCACCACCCGTGATTTTGCCAAGATGCTTGCGTACTTTTTTTTCCCTTTAAACCTACAGAAATCGCCTTAGACTAAATGACCTTCAACAAATGAATGAAAGGACCCCAAGTAACCTACACTGCGTGGAAACAACAGCACCGAAGGAATAGAGCGATGTTGTGCAGGAAGAAAATGCGTGTCCTTGTTTGCGAGGAGTTTAATGTAAATGTTAAATGCAATTGTTGTGATGGTGTAAAACTGGTTAAACGTAAAGGGGTTGTCATTCACGCTCTATTTGCAGTTTTGGGCGGCTCAGTGGTTACATCGCTCTGAAACCTGGAGGACAAAAGAAAAAGGAAAGCGGTTGTCCAAAGGGAGGCGGGCATCTCAGCTCCCTTCTTTCTCCTTTATGTGGTCCCTTGCACTTCGTAACCAGTCTCTTGTGTTTTCGTGCTCGCCTTTTTCGCGACCAAATTGGAAAACAAAGCGCCAAAGGCGGCGGACGCGGCGGTTTTCCCGCCAAACCATGATAACACGCATTATACCAACACTGTACCTTGAATTGTGAGTAATCTCTTGAACTGAAGCGATTCATTCCACTGAAACCTTGACAAGGAGGGCCACCGCATAAGAGTTGCACATCTCCCTTTTGCGGCAATGTTTGACCTCTGGAGTTCTTCTTTTCTCCCTGAGGATAGGAAAAAAAAAAAATTCTGCTTCTTTATAGAAACACTTACCGCATCCCTTAACCAATACTAGCTTTTTTTCAGTCCACTGTTTAAACAAGCGATGAGCTGAAGAGCAACCTTAAGGTTGCCCGAGAGATGATTATGATTGTATGAACGTCTTTTCTCGACCCAAACATAACTGTACAAAGGTAATCTAATGAGTAACAGACGCTAAAGTAGTTATTTTTTTTCTCCATGTCGTCATGCCGTTGGTCGTCGAAAAGTGGGAGCCTCACACTTTCCGCAAGAAATAATTCGCTAGTCCTTCCTAGTCGCACTCCTGTCATTGATGGGAAACTCTTCAATTTTTGGAAACTTCGTCTTTCGCTATTTTTCCGACCGATTTGGATTCGCACATAACTTCGGACTATTCTGAACAAAACATTTAAAACACCTAAAGAAACTTTACTTAGCACAGAAGTATTAGACCAACTAGCTTGTAAGAAAGTTAACCACATGAGAAAGATTATCACATAGTGAAGCTTACATCCATGGCGAGCTTTAGCAACAAGTTACAGTCATCCGTAAACACCGTACATCCGGGATTGTTAAGACTAAAGGCATGCGCAGCAGGCTCCTCCTTCTCGATAGCCCAAAGAGACTCAGCTATACCAGCCTGATGAAGACCCTCCGAAAGACCTTTGAAAGAATACAATTCTTAGTTACTTCCTTCAATGATTCAATATTACAGTGACTTAGCTCTTAACCCTTTAAGCCCTAAGAGTGATCAGCACCTAATTTCTCCTTGCAATACCAATGCTTTGTAAAACGGAGTGGTCTTGAGAATTACGGACATGATCACACAAGATGAATTTGCTTGATGTTTTATCAACTTCTCCCCACTACTTCTGTTGGAAATAAATAGGAGCAACAAATGAGAATTCAAGTTTTGATCTTAGGGTTTAAGGGGTTAATTGTATACCTCTAGGACCGTCCATTATACTTGCATTGACCATTTTAAGGTTGTGAGGTAGCGACCGAGGCAGAGACTGGGTCGGTATTGTCCCGCAGTGCACCATGGAAATGTTTTGGGAGACCTTAAACACGTGACCATGGTCTTGTGGTCGCGTTTGCGGTTCACTTTTGAAAGGCTTGAAGGGATTCAAGTGGTAAGTGACTTACGGCAAGGTTTTTGTCACGAAAAATTATACACCCTCGAGTTTAAAGGGGCAAGGTAGCTTTCTATATCCTTTTTGATTCAAGTAACATTAAGTGTCTAATTAAAATACAACAGCAACGACAAAACATACCACCACATCCTGCAAAAACATCCAGACATCGAAGCTTAGTGACTGTTTCACTAGCTTTACGGCTGTCGTCTTCTTTGGAACTGTGATCTTCAGTTTCACAAGATGCTTTGCCTTTTCCTTTACCCTTTCCTTTTCCTTTACCCTACATAAGAAAAATAAGTCGCCTGAGAAAACTCAGTGTTTGGAGATCAGATAGAACACTCTTTCTCGTGATTGACTGATTGAAATTTTGCGGTGGAAACCATCAAATTGATTCATACAAAAGAAAATTCAAAATTTCTTGAATGTCACAAACAATAAAAATAAAAGTACTGGAGAGTAATTTTTTCCTGGAACTTTGAATTTTTGTGAAGTTGCCGACAGTTGTTCTTTTCTTAGAGCCGGTGAAGAAGATTCCTTCAGTGTAACCATTCGACTGAAAGTGGTTAATAGAATTGTAGGCCCCAGTTGTTCAAAAGGTGGATAAATCTCTACGGGTGGATAGTGCAATCTGTTTTCCTAATACTAATCCGTTGGATAGTGATTTATCCGATGGATAGCGCTATCCAACGTTTGAACAACTGGGGCATGTACATCTTTTTTAACTCCTTATTGCGCAATTCATTCTTGTTGTGCGGAATCCCCCACATGAACTAAAACGGGTCACGTAAGATTAGGATCACATGACTTGAACTGAACACGTTTTTCGATCTTTTACTCGTTTCGTTCTGTCATTCAGTGAACATTTTAGGGTGTACTCAGTTAATATTAGGAACTTCTTAGGCCAGAACTAAAGTCTCGGACTTAATTCTATTACACTTGTTGTGCTGCTTTTACTACTTGAATGCAAGATTTCTATCCTAATAATTATACTAAGTGTCACTTTCGCGCAATGATTAACTTTCCAACCTTTCCTTTCATGGCAGCATTACGTGCTTCCACTGGAGCCTCCTCGAACTCCTTTGTTTCACTGTTATACGCCTGAACAAAAACACAACAATACCATTTTGGTCCGTCAGATCCAACCTCGTTACCAGGGTTCTCTCTTACTCGCTCCGTAGGGAAGGGTAGGAGAGAACCCTGGTAATGAGGTTTGTTGGGTCAGATCGCCTTTACTCCTCTTCTGTCGCCATTCTCGATTTTACATGAAAATTTAGGCATAATTAAACATGAGTACAGTAACAGCTTCTTAGATAAGATAAAACGGTCAACACAAAACGTGCAACTTGTTTTGCGACATTGCTAAACGAGTTGAATGGCGATGTTACGCGTTTTACCACCCACGAAAAAAAAAAACACCTTCCAAACTCATTTGTTGTAAGACAGGTTCGAAAGTGGGTGGTAAAACGCGCCACTCGTTTGCAGCAATGTTGATTGCTGCAAACCGAGTGGCAGGTTTTTTTTGTTGCCTGTTTTACTACAGCCTTACAAAAAGAAATGTTATTCTAATCATATATTGTTTTTTTTTGGCGCTTCTTAAGACTTGATTCCAGCCACCAAGCACTGCTTTTTAGCTTACACTTAAAAATTGATATAACAAACTCTTCAAGAGGTTATCTCTTTGAATCAAAGATTTCTTGGTAATTGGCTTCTTGTCATTTTGTGAGCCCTGCTTTTCGTGGCGGAGAAACACAAGTGTTCAGAGCTGGAATCCAAGACAAGCAGATTTTGAAGAAGATATACGCCAAAGGAATTTAATCACCTCTAAGAAGTAAAAGTTGTTGACCCCTCTGGCGGTGTATTCTTCGACGGAACAGTTGAGATCTTCTCCGCAGGTAACCAGGCAGGCGCCCACGACTGAGTCAAAGGAAACCGTGGCCTCTGAGAAAAATGAATCACCACTAATAGAATCAAACTTTGTCCGGCCTTTTATTCTGATTAGCTAGCCCTTACTGCCAGGGGGGTAGAGGTGACCGTTTTTATCACTGAAGTCTCCGAAGTACCCTGGGTGCCAAGAGTTTTTCTTACGCAGTTTCCGATTCCGGTTCAACCCTCCAATCTAGTACCTCTGAAGAGTTGGAGCGTAAGTCAGATAAATTTATTATAAAAATAGTTTGAGAGCAAAGAATGCTTCCCCAAACTCGCTTAACGAATAATGAAGTTTACAATGCAAGTCATTGCCTCTGTATTGGGGGAGAAAAAAGCATTAGAAAATAAGCATGAAAAAGCTTCCACAGGAGTTCAGGTGAAACTGCATAAGAAAAACACAACCACTTACTTGCATTGTTTGGATTTTGAAAGGATCAATAAAAGAGTTGGGAAAGCTACCCACTTACCCCTCCCATAACCCACAATTTTGCCCTCAGTCAGAAGTTAGTGTTAACTTTGTATTAGGGGAGGGGTAGGTAGGGAGTTATTAAACATGTACGTTTCGGGGAAATACAAGAGCAGCTTCATGCAATAGTATTAGCCTGCAAGTAAGCTCTGTGTCTCCTTTCGCATACGGCTCCCGTTTGACTTCTCGAGACTCTCCCAAATGGAGAGCTTGCTCGAAGGCTAGCAATATTTCACTTTGGTTTACAAAGAAATCTTCTATTTAAACTTACCCTCTTTGCTCCAATACAACAAATTCAGATCTGCCTGGTAAGCAAACGTACAACCCCGGTGCGTGTTCTCTGGTCTAAGGAGAATAAGTTCGCTGTGAGTCAATGTCTACTGATGAGAAACACGGCGCTGGCAAATATATTCTGAGGCTGCTTAGGCTTGCCACAAGTCAACGTAACGAGTTAACGGCACTGTGGCTACCCTGGGTACCAGAGATTTTTTCTCGCGTGTGACAAGGAGCTTCGTCGGCCGGAGGCCGACACGTCTTCAACCTTCGGCCGAAGACACGAGCGGCGACTTGTCCGAAACCGGAAACCGCGCATAAAAAGTCTCTGGCACCCAGGGTACACTGTGGCGATAAACAGTGGGAGAGTTGACGGGCGACTGTAGTTTACGACAATTTCATATGACTCATACGTGCGTTTGGGGGAACTTGAAAGTTGCCGATTGACATGAGCAACGCACGTCAAACAGAAGCGGACTTTTTGAATTGTTGGGCCAAAATCTTCAGGCAAGTCGTCTCTATAAGAGGAAAGACAGTTCGCGATACAAATTGGTAGCGTCAAGGACTTTATTAAAAGGGAAAAGAGTCACTGCCGGTTGACTTGAGTCGCTCAAAAACATCTTTGCTAAAGCTACCTAATAACGACATTCTGAAGGGAACCGACACGAGTGCGTGTAAGTTCCCGCAGGATCCTGAACTTTTGATCTTTTGTGTGGTACTTGTTTACCTGTAAAATTTGCTGACAGTCATCTTGATATCGACATCCTCTGCTAATTTTCCAGAGTTTGCCTTCGTAAAAATGTTAAGAATTCGACCTACAGATAAAAAGAAAACAGCAAAAGACATTTATGGACGTGATGTCGTACAGTTACCAGCACAGTCGAATCTTTCCTGTTGTCCAGTGTTATGTTCAAGTAATTATGGTACGTCCAAGATTATGATATAAATGTGAGGTCGTTATTATCTGGATCATAAAGAGCACTTGATTATACAAAAATAAATTCATACTGGTCGCAAATATAAAACGTACATAAATTCTATATAAATAACGATCATGCATGTTATATTAGACATGATTGTTTAGGGCTAATATATCTCTATAGAAAGTATTAACATCTCATTCCTCTCGCTAATGCTGTGGTACCATCTTGGTTTCCTCTGGTCACAGTCTTCTAGGTGATGATAGAGACTTAGGGCCTATTTACATGGAGGTGGGGGACCCCTGGTAGGTAGGATAACCCGTCTGTCCATACAATGTCTCATATGGTCACCCCACCTTCCATGTAAACGCGATCAAATTAACATGAGAGATTGTATGGACAGGCGGGTTACCTCACCTACCTGGGGTCCCCCACCTTCATGTTAACAGGCCCTTAAAGATCCAACGACGCGACGGCAAACAAAAACGTCTAAAAAAACAACAGGTTAATAAGCAAGACAACAAGTTTGCAAGTGCATCACGATTTTTTGTACATTTCTTTGCCGTCGTTGCACGACTGCGACGTGAAAATGCATAATTTCGCGTTTTATTGAGAACGTTAAAAAGCAACAACGAAATTTTATTTCTCTCTCTGAACTTGGATATGGTCTCTTGGAATTTTCCTCCAGGAAGGTTCGGCTACATTTGACAACTAAGTGGGTAGGAATAATTGCGATAGAGGCTGAAAGAATGCCAATTCACTTTTTAAGCCGGCGACTTTCTCGCTGCTGTCGCGTCATTGGATCTCAAAGTCCCTATTAGGACTAAAAACTCTAAGTAACGAGGGGGCTCGTCCCCAGTTCGTAGGATACTCAAAGCAAATCTCGCCATCTTTAATTTAATTTCTTTTTTCCTTACCGTTAAAGAAAACCGTGAACACCTAAATAATTTCACTGGCCAATCACAATAAAGTTCAGGATACGCAAGCAAAACTCAAAACCACAAACTAATTTTCTTTGCTGTCAGCGGTTTAGTTATCTCACGCGTTATTGGCTGATTTCTCGCAACACAATAACATTCCATAAATACTTCTGGTGTTCACCGTTTTGTTAGTTTCACAGTAAGAGTGTTCAGTGACAAGTTACCTATCTTGAATGGTTCAGGAACATCATAGTTACTGCCCTTGACATATTCCACTGGCTTTCTATAATATTCTGGGTATTTTTCTTCGTTCACCTGCGGTGGTGAAAGTTATGATCCATTAGAAATGTGTCAACTCAGCCAATTAACTCGTAGAGTACGAATATTCAAAATGTCTTTGGCAGAGAAAGGAAACATTCGTCTTAGTTGAGTTGAAAAGCGTTTCAGTCGTTTGTCAAAATATGCCACAGATTTACATGTGATCAAAAAGAAAAACAAATCCCTGACTTTCCCACCCAATCTTAAAAACTTTACGGAACTTTTTCCAAAATACATGCTATGTGACTGTTATGTACCATTCCCGTGGCATCGGTTGAAGATATGATTGGCTGAAAAGTTTCGCGCCCCGTCAATCAAGTAAACATATTAACCGACCGTGAAATGATTTTTTCCGCACTCGGCGCCCGCTACATGTACATGGCCCGAGTTGTGATCCATTAATTTGCTTGTGGTTTGATTTCAGAATTGCTTATCTGATAAAAGTCAGAACGAATAACGGTGGTACGTAATGGCCACAGCTGAAATTTAATAATGGAGAGAAAGAAAAGTACAGGCAGAAAGATATAAGGCTTGCGGGTTGCAATAGGAGTCATTTTATGTTGGCGCTGACCACCCAGCGAAACGATTAACTAAAACAATTTCATGTTCAACTGTGAAATGTAAGTGAATCACTGAACAATTCGCAAGCCAACGCGGATACAAAATTAAGTGATAACTTGGAGTTTCGTTCATAGGGCCATGCTTTGACTGGGTTAAGTTAGGAGATGAAAAAAAAAAAAACGAAACAACAATCGAAAATCTTAACCGTTTCATCTTTCTTGAAGCCTTTCTTTGTCCCTTTCGGTTTAATACTGGAAAAAACAAACAAACAAAGAAACAATCAAACAAAAAGAAAAAAAGATAGTTAAACTTAAGCACCACTGTGTATATAGCAATGAACACATTCATAATGGCAAAGGAAAGGAGAGTTACTTACTTGAAAGAAAATGCGTCTGGTTTGAGAAAAACACAGTCTCCCAGCTTATACTGAACTCCATTTTTTGTACAAGACCTGTTGGATGAACGCAAATTGATTAAAAAGACATGGAGCACCAACGTTTAGTTAAGAAACGGTTGCTTTGGTTTTCATTACAACGATTCAGTTGTGGTGGGTTTATTTATTTCACCACTTTGTAAAAAATGGAGACTTAAAGCCAGAAACCAACACGTTTTGCTTACGAGTGTTTCACTAAACTGCCTGTGTCAATTGTGACCGGCTGGAATCATTGAAGCAGTTTGAAATGCTCAGTGTCAAATTTCTTTCAATATTGTTTTGAGTATTTCACCACTAGGTGTAATGCCATTGTGTAAAAATGTTGCGCCGATTTCTCGACCAATCACAGGCGTGATTACGAGCGTTTTCCCGCTCTGGCATCCGATACATTTGCTCCAAAGTTTGATTGGTTCCTTTGACCGGCTGCATGTATTTAGAATCGTGGAAAAGAAACGGTTCACATACTTGTAATATGTCTTGGACGAAGATTTGGTTTCCGTTTCTAATGGTTCACCAACACAAGGTTCTTCTAGCTACAAAATGAAGAAATGAAAAAACAGTGAATAACAAGAGTACTAGCTTCAGTGGGGGGTCGGATCTTCATTGAGGTGCGTGTAACCTGTAAGCTTAATTTGCAACATTCCTATCCATGACCAATTTAAAGAGTGAAACACAATCAAGAATTGCAAGTTTTCTTTAGAGTTTTCCATTGATATTTCTATTAATCATTACCCGTAGCTCTATATTAAGCCTGGTTCCCGGTTCTCAGCTCCCCGTTCCGGTCTACTTCCGGCTTCAGTCTGGGTCCAGTTTTGGTTCCAGTCGCCATATTTGTCTCAAAACCGCTCGCTTGCAAACTTCCGGGACCACTTCCGGCTTTCTTGACTTACACCTTTGCACACCGAACGGAAAGGTTTTAAAAATGGACCCATTCAGTGGCCATATGGCCGGCTTGGTAGTGGATTCTTTCCTACAGTATCCAGTGGCCTGTTCTTTCGCGTTCTGTATCGGGCTTTTTATTTTCTACCCAATTTTCTACGAGAAGGACGCAACCAAAGGATGGCGATGGTTCGTGTCGTGTGTTGTCGTGTTTGTGCTTCTGTCAGCGGTGTCAATTTTTTTGAAGCCTACACTGTCAATAACGCCAGATCGTATTATTTTTCGACCGACACCATCTTGTTCCACGTTCGACAATCCTGCACGCTACTTGTGTTTCACTCTCAGCGATCCAGACCACGATCAAGTATTCTACACAACGACGTGGCGAAAATGTGATAAGTCCGATGCAAATATGAGAAATGCCAGCAAATTCTACATCATCTCCTCTTGGATACCTTCCTTTGACCACTTTATCACAAAGAGGCGTGTTAATTTTGAACCAGACAGCTCTCCTGGCGAAGACAAAAAGTCATACACACTACCTGAAAATTATTGTGTGCGCGCTGCCGGTCCACTGAGAGAAGATAAACTAGTAAAAGTTGCATTTTACAGCATAAACGGATCTCAACATCATCTGCTTGACTCTGGCTATATCAACACAACCGAACTTGAGAAGTTTCATTCTGGTTGGTATCTTGTTTCCAGCTGCAAGTCCGAATTGTCAAAGTGGCTTTTTAATTGTACACGTGGGTTTGTAAGTTCCAATTACGTGCGATTGCAGCAGTACACCATGAGGCTTCTCCTTGAAAAAAGGGGTCAGCTTCCAAGTTGATGGGATTGTGGTTCACACGACATTCAAGCACGATTGTAGGTCTTGTCTCTTTGTTTATGAAACTCTAGAAACATTGGCATTGCTGTCATGCCTCCTTCAATATGTACGCCGAAAAATATTATGTCACCAGCAGTAGCAGCGGTAGCTATGGAAGCTCTTGTTTTGTTAGTAATTGCCATCATGTCATATCATAGTTTTCGTAGTTGTTGTTCTGTATGTTAGATTGAAACATTCTAGAAGAAGACACTCTTTGGTCTCATCATAGGAGGTCTCTGCTTACAAGAGGTTGAATGGCTTCAAGGATCCTACTCAACCATAAAGCATTGCGCGCATGCAACTGTAAATCCACCATTTTCTTTGCAAACCCTAGTTAGGAAATTTTAGCTTTCGGTTCTTAATCTTCGTGCATCCTCGAAGATGCATCCTATCCACGACTTTATAATTGTCCTCATTGACTTTTATAGTTATTGATGCTTTCTTGTGATTCACTATTTTATTGATTTGTGCCAATTTTCATTAAAAATTTCCCGTATGTAAACAAGCACAGGGGCGTAGTTGACTAGGATCCTTTAACACAACATCTACCTGTGTGGCAGGGTGTGTCAGGTACATTTTCTGGCATGGGGAGGGGCCGGCCGGCCGGGGGATTGAAAAGGTGTGTGTGCACCCCACTCCACTATGCCAAGGAGGTCTAGCAATGATTCGACAGAAAACAAGTTATAACACTATTATTATTATTATTATTATTATTATTATTATTATTATTATTAGCATTAGCATTATTGTATAAACCCTTTTTTCTTCGGCCATCGTAGTTTTATCAAAAAGAGAACACAGATAGTGGATATAAACATTTTTAAACGCATTTTATGACTTGACGTCAAGTCATAAAACGCGTTTAAAATCCGTTACGAATAGTCTAGTGTAACATCACCTTTGAACTCTAAGGGTTAAATATTACTTGTTGGCAAACAATGTGTGCATGCTATCTGTCACGTTATATACAAACACCTGGTTCTGTGCTGCCTTTCTTGTACAGCTCTCGCAGTATTTAAATTCTTCTTTTCGATCCACCATAGTTATGTACTCTGAAGGGGGGTCTATAAATCTTCCTAGCTCTGGATCATACCTGCAATTAAATACAAACAATCCGTTTCTCATCCCCTGCAAACAAACATGTGATTATTCAGGAGGATACATTAAACTATAGCTAGGATGCCCGGGGGGGAGATTCCGCATATGAAAGGGGTGGGGATGCTCGTCGTAACTTTTGAATTACACCCCTAAAGGAGACCGATCTGGGCGTGGCCCAAGCTTTTTTTGACCCCTAAAAGAGACCATGTTAAAACACAGACAATATTATATTTTTTCGCGTGCAGCCCTAAACAAGACCTTCACGGCTAAATATGATGGCGTTTTTTCCCAGAACACCCTAAGTGAGGCCAAAATCCGAAATTTACACCCCTAAGCGAGACGACGAGCATCCCCACCCCTTTCATATGGGGAGTCCTCTCCCCGTGAAGGTCTCGTTTAGTGTTGCACGTGAAAAAATATAAAAATATGTGTATTGTCTGTGTTTTAACATGGTCTCTTTTAGGGGTCAAAAAAGGCTTGGGCTACGCCCGGATCGGTCTCTTTTAGGGGTTTAATTGAAAATTTCCGACGAGCATCCCTACCCTTTTCATATGCAGAGTCCCCCCCCACCCCCGGGCTATACATGCCCTAAATGACAAACTATATGGGATCAGGATCCTCAAAACAATAGTGACGTCATGGCTTATAACGTTTACAGTCTTCTATAACGTACAATTTCCGTCTGCATGACGAAGAAACATTCAAAATCTTCCTGAATAAGGGAAGATAATAATTTGAAAGAAAATGTTTTTCTCCACACCTTTTCCAACTTCGCTCAAGCAATTTCCACATTCCTTAATGTAATACTTTTCTGACAGAAATGAAGTCTTGTGAATGTCCAGAAAGAAGAAAAGAGAAATACCGGTAATCAAGCTTACTCTAGCGATAATAGGGACTTTTAGATTCGAAGAAGAGATTTGACTTATAGTTCTTTCGCGTGTTATCAAAAAATATACACCCCGTATAGCTTCGTGGTTCTTTTGATTCACCAAAAAACGTTAGCAATGTTATCTTTATTGAAGGAGTTTAAGCCCTCTCCCGAACGCAAAATGATAAAACTTCTATTAAATACTTGATAACTTGTTTTCGCTAAAACTCGTAGTAGAGCGATTTTCATGAAGTTTTTTCACCTGAGCGATCGCTTAACCAACCAAAAGCCACGCGCCTTTGTATCCGTTCGATAAACCAATCAAATCGCTCTCTTTCCGTTTGTTTGTAATTTCTGTTTTGTTTGCTCGTTTTCATTTCAAGGTCATACGAAAATCGCTCTATTCCCGCCAAAATGACGTTTGGTTCACGTGTGCGCACTACTTAGTACTGAGAAAATGTCGTCCTCGTAGTAGGTCTCCTCTTAGAATCTAAAGCTCTCTAATGTCACACACATTTCTCAATACAAACCATTTCTGGTAGAAAAAATGGTTGCCATCATCCTCTTCCATCATGGCATTAGCATCCACATCATCAAGACCTCCTTTCATGAACCAATCAGGATCTGGCTTCTTATGGGTCACCTGTGTTGGATTCGTTACATACATGGTCAGAAGAGAAAAACTGTAATTCTAGATTCTGTCCATATCTTCTATACCAGTTTTGTTATATACAGTAAACACCCCCATATAAGAATCTAGTGGATTAGGAACCTCTTGGCAGAAATTTGCTGCCTTAATACCCAAAAATACAAGAACTGTTTGGCCAAGCAAGATCAAGCAGGTTATACGTGGGCTACGGTTAAATTATGATAAACAATTTAACCAAGGAGTGTAACTCTGTGATTGTAAATTTAAGTATATTAGAGACATACTGTGGCAAACAGTATATAAATTCGGTAATCAGTTTTCTGAGGGTTATGTTAATAAAATTGTGAAGAAAACTGCATTTTTAAGGACCAAACCCAAGTTTAATAATTTTTCTGGTAATGAACAGTCTGCTATCTCCTTCATAAAAAATTAAGAACCTAATTAGCCTAAATTGCTAATAAGTACCCCGAAATACAAGAACCTATTTTGACAGACTTCAAAAAATAGTCGTTCTTATTCGCGGGTTTTTACTGTAACTGCAATAACCGATCATGTCTTGTAGAGAGGAAATAGAGCATTTTCACTCACTTGACCAGCATCTATGCAAATTTATTGCAACGATAGAAAGTTTTTACTTAAGAGTTCAACTCCCACAGGACTGGTTTGGGACACCAACATGGCTGCCGTTTCGCTGTTCTGAGACACCAAGGGCAGTAACTTACGGTGCATTTCTCAGCGATGGTGAAAAGATGCTTGTCTTCGCAATCATCAATCAGAAACAATTCACTAACATCACTTGTTTCACCCAGAAGAGTCTCGGATCCACGCCTGTAAAGAAGAAGAGGAAAGTGGTGTCATGACCACCAGAAACAAAAACTTAGTTGAATACCATGTGTATGTTAGAGAAGACGTTTGTAATGTTCCGTAGGGCAATTAGTCGCGTGTAAAAGTGGAAGGGCAGACTTGATTTTTAGTTACGTTTATTATTCTCAGTTATCTGGTCTTTCCCTTAAAAATACCAAGAGTTTATCCTGCAGTACCTTTGGGATTACTTAAGAGACTTCTATTTTTACAGTAGAAATAGAAACTAAGGCAAAAAAAAAAAATGATATACTGATAATTCTGTGATAGGTTTGAACTCAGGAGTCATTTCACAAGAAGGTTGAGCATGATCGTCCAGGTGAACATAGTCCTGAATAGGACTGTTGTTGTTGACCGTGACTGACGTTTCGGCAACCTCTGCGGTAGTCATCTTCTGAGTCAAAAAGTGAGTTGTATGACGTCAGTTGATGGTATTAAACTCTGGTTATTGACCTGATAGGTATATTAAGTCGCGATGTTTTTGGTCGTCTGCCAGTTAAGCCGTGTTGTTATTGGCTGTAAAGACTCGTAATCTCATTGGTGCGTTTCGATCCGTCTATTGTCACTGTTAAACAGTCGTTTATTATTTGTCAAATAATCGGTTGACCAGTCATTCTCTCGTACATAGTTTTGCTTGAGTCCGTTAATAAGTCATTTGCACGGTGCCGGCAACTGTTGACTACGATTCAGTGGTGTTTGTTCTAAGTTAGTCATACCAGCTTTCGAAAGTGAGTCGTTTATAGTAGTCTCTAGAATACGTAATACATGTCGCAGACTCCTAGTCGATTTGATGTTTCGTCTGTAAATGGTGTTCAGAAATGTGATTGTTGACATCACCATTTCTTGTCGCTCGTTTGTGTTCGGTCAGTCGCATGCTAAGGTTTCCGCCGGTCTCACCAATGTAAGTAGCCTGGTAGTCGCAGCACTTGATCTTGTATACTGCTCCCTGTCTGTCTTCAGCTGTGTCTTTGTCCTTGACATTAGTAAGCAGTCGCCGTAAAGTGGTTATCGGTTTGTGTGAAAACTGATCACGACACGTCTGTTGCAAGTTCCACCTTAGTTGTTTGAAGTGAGCATAAGCTTGAGAATTTCATGTTTTTGTTTTTTGGGTAAAAAATGTTAGGCATTATCGAGAAGTTTTAAATTAAGAAAGTGATGCGAGATTCAACACCAATCATAAAGCATGACACTGAATATAGAGACTGTTAGCGCAGTCAAACCCCGTAAATACGGATACAGAGAAAAAGTAAGGGCTTTCTTTCCCCAGGGACAAAACAAACTGTCCGTAATAATGAGGTGTCCGTATTAAGCGGGTGTTCGTAAAGTGTGCACCGTAATTTTTAGGGAGTTATTATAACTCCAAAAATGGAGTAAAAATTTTAGGTACATGAAAACCCCTTTTTTGGGGTTATTTTAACTCCTAATTTAACTCCGAATTTGGGGTCATTTTTACTCCTGAAAAAGACTTCTTTTTACTCCCAGTCTGGAGTTAAAATAACTCCGAAATGGGGTTACTTTTACTCCTTATACGTGGGTTGTTTTCACTCTTTTTGGAGTTAATTCCACTCTGAAAGTGGAGTAAAAATTTTAGGTACAGGATAACTCCTTTTTTGGGGTTATTTTAACTCCTTAATATCTCGGGTCACTTTTACTCCTGAAAAAGAGTTCTTTAAACTCCTTTTTGGAGTTAAAATAACTCCCCAAAATGTAACTCCACTGTAAGGAGCTAAATTAGCCCCACTAGAGGAGTTATTATAACTGCTTGAAAATTACTGTGTGGTTTGACTGTGTTGAGAAAACCAGTCTAACGAAAGAACAGCTGTTACCATAACCATCTGCAGTGAAACATCTTGTCACCATTGGATGCCTCCCACATGTAACATACACAAGCAATATACAGCGGTATATTGGTTTCCTTGGGATTCACCTTCACAAAGTCTCCAACATGTACCTGTTCAAGCAGAAACATTTATTCCTTAAACGGCAGACAATTGTAAAGAGGCATTCCTTCTAATTATTTCACCAGGGAGTTTCTGTAGGTTCCCTGTTTTGATCACTAGTTAGAATAACCGTTTGAAAACTAGGCTGACTTCAAATTTCTGGCATAACGTGTGGATAGCCAACTGCTTCCACCTTACAAGAAAAAGGTTTCTAATTATGTCAGGTTAAAATTCAATAGACAACTGCTGTTTCATTTTCTTGCACACCGGTCAACACAAGAAAGACAAAACTGGAATAATGCTACATACGCAAATTGCTTTTTAATGCTTGCTGGGTTCCTGTGGTTGCCCTACCGTAGTAGTAACGGTGTTCTAGTAAGAATGCCACCTCGCTAAAGTAAACTGGTTTGTTATCACATACTGTAAATGACCTAATAGACGCCCACTCCCAAATAAACGCCTCTTATCCAATAAACGCTCCCCTCTACAATGTCAAAATTGTGTTAGACGCCCCTCTCTAATAAACGCCCCCTGTCTAATAAACGCCCCCATGACAATTACTCCAAAATACTAGGAATTAGCAAAAAGGAGCAAAACATTCAATTCAATCTGTTTCTTACTTGATTAACAAGGTTTTGCGTATTTCACCTTGTTCCATGTCAAGTTCAGAGTAAGGATAGACTAACGATGGAAACACAATAACCCTGAGCGAGGATTCTTGCATCGATGTTGGGATTTAAAAGAAGGATATGGATCTCTAGACGGGGTAGACGTATCAATTGATGGAGCTTATATTTCGCTATTTTTAAAATCTCTTGATGTTTTCGTCGAAAGCACACTAGTTTTGTTGAGCTTGTTACAGTTTTGAGCAAATAAACTCCTCCTATCTATTAAACGCCCCCGCTTGGACCTCTAAAATTAAGTAGACGCCCGGGGCGTTTATTACGTCATGGTGGTCAGGTGTCTGTTTTGCTCTAATGCTTTATTACAGCTTTGGGTCTCTCGTATTTTACGTCAGATTTCTCAAGGACTTATAAAGAAACGAAAAAGACATGCAGGTAGCATACCTCTTCCTTGTTGATTAAAACGGAAGAATAATATTTTGTCTTTCCACTGACTTTGATCGGATCTCCTATCCATTCAACCTTTTTCTATAAATAAACACAAATATACGTCGTTAATTTTCTTCTTTTCTATTGGAGTGGTCCACCTTTCATATCACTCCACTCATCAAAGGACAAGGAGAAAAAGGAGAAGGAGGAGTTCCAAGTTCAACGTTAGGTGCTACTCTTGCATAGCACTATTTGTTTCTGAGGATTTACCCAAAATTCAGTACATTATTTGGTAAATTTTTACTATGGCCAGTATGGGAAATAAATTAAAAACATGTGTTGCTTTCTCGTTCTTCCTCAACTTAACCAGCTATTACGGAAGGATACTCAAGAGGTTTTCTTCTTCTATCTCTGTGCCACTAGTCACTGATTTTTGGATGTGTCAGGTTAATTTAAGTAAAAGTAATTGTCTATCGGTCATTTTATAGCAACCGAGCGATTTCTCGCGCGCTGATTAGTCGATAACAGTTTATTCAATGTGGTCAATGCTACGCGCGCTGTGATTGGTCGTTGCCCATAAACACATCGATGACGTCACGGAAAACTTAATTGTTTTTTTTGGTGTCCAACATGGCGCGCGGGTTTGAAAATGTTTGCAAGATTTTTCCGAGTTAACCAAGTGAAGGCCACGAAAACAGTTTAGCAGGAGGTTTTTACCAGTAAGAAAAGCAGAGAGACTGAGACAGAAAGAGTTCTTAACAACTTGAAAATGACAAACTGGAAGAAATCCTCACAACAGTTGCCATCGCGTCTCATCACTACGAGAAACTCGCAGTTTTGAAAATGTTTGCGCGATTATTCTGCCTGTAGTAAGGAAAAACGTTGAAAAAGGTTTCGTAGAAACTGTATACAAGTAAGACAGAGAGGAAAGAAGAAGGAGAGACGACTTAAAGATGTCTAAACTGGCACAAATCCTCGAACAGTCAGGCGGTACAAGGCAAGTTTGTCGTTTTCTCTTTCCTGTTCATTGTACAAAACGAATAGACTCAATATTGCCGTGCGTCTGTTCAGTAATAGATTACAGAAGACGTCAAAATGTGGTAAAATCATCCGTGACGCACTCCCCTGCGGCTTGTGTGCCCCTTGTTTGTTTTTCCCACGTAATTTGTGATCTGTTACTGAACAGACGCACGGCAACACGCAATCTCTTTCTTAAACAGACCATGGAAAATTGTTAGTCGATTTGTAAATGTAATAGGAAGACTAGGGCCAACATAATTACGCATTTTAATACAAAATAATTATTTTCCAACTCACGTTAGTTCCTTTCTGTGATTTTGCTGTTTTGTGAGTTGGCGTGTTCTTCTTTGTTTTCTCTTTTTTGGGACTCTAATAAAAATATGGTAAAATTATATAAAAAAAATAATTAATAGGGGTACAATAATGACCCAATGTGGCCTAGAAATATGGACTATACAATCAACATGTATTACACAATCACCCTCAGGGAACACGAATGGTAAAACAACATGCAATGTACATACAACATTCTCAACTTCTTCAACAACGTCTTCATCTTCATCTGCTTCTTGCACAGCCATGTAAGGACACCTGAAAAGCGAAGGAATTTGGTTTTTACATCAATACAAATATGTTCCAACACTGGACATCAATAATAAGGTGTGTTAATCAAGTTCTGGGAATAGTGCACCTCCATCCAGAATGTTGTCCGTTCAAGCCTGCAAGTGTGTAATATTAATCTAATACCTGATATCGGTACTTTATTTACTGCCACCTTGATAGGGTGCGAGGCTTATTGTGTTTGTATGAACTGGAGAGCTTGGCCAGTGGGAACAATTATCATGAAAGCATCACCCATACTGGAAAGGTACAGTTGAAGCTATATGGACACCCGCTTAATATGGACACCTCATTATTAAAGACTGTCTTCTTTGTCCCTGCAGAAAGAGAGCCCTTACATTTTCTTTAAATTCAACCCACTTAATACAGACACCACATAAATAGACACTTTTGATGGCCCCCTCAGTGTCTGTATTAACAGAGTTTGACTGTAGTTGCCAGACAAAGTACTATCTCTCACCAACTCCTGGTAGGAGATTTTGCTTAAGGTTAACCCCCTGAAGTACCTCAAGCCAAAACTGTTGTTTTCAGCAAGTGGTACCACTGTTCTAGTGTTTTTGCACTCTCTCACTTTCAAGGGTACCTCAAAACAAAATTCAAGAAAACTGCCTTTTTTTGCAAAGTACTAAAAAACAGCAACAGAGGCATGTAACTAAATACGCTGCCTAAATGTTTCAGTTGAATGGTCATACTACAAGACTTAACCCACAGAAAGAAACTTTGAACTACAATAATTGAGAGTCGCATTTACTGATGGGAGGTGAATATTCAAAAGAGATGGTTTAATCATTGTGTTTACACAGAAGTGGGTTTTCAAGACATACTTTCTTTTTTCACAGCACTGTTTCTTCCTGCCAGTTCCACCAAATTTGACCATGTCTTTACAAGATTTACAATCACCACAGTCTGCTTGCTGGCACACTTCACAAACTCCACACCGTTTCCTGCGGGGTGCACTTGTTTCTTTACCATCAATTTGATCCTTGAAGAAAATGTCAAATATGTGCCGCACTAGGGGAGTAGTTGTGGCCTGAATAAAATGAAACAAGGTTGTTATCAAATGTATCCAAGATGTAACATTTAGTGCATACCATGTCACCAAGATGTTAGTTACATTTGAATTTAGTATATGGTTTCAACAATGAAGTCATAGATTAACTGACAGATGACATACCAACAACAGCGTGACGAAAAAAATTACCAACAGGAGTCTTAATAGCATCAATGAAAATACCCCAACACTCAGTAAAGGGTTTTATTTTATTTTATTTTATTTGTCACACAATAATAGAAACTGAATAACCAATAATATAGGATAAGTAGAAAAGAGTCGCGAGACAACCTAACAGAAGCTATAGAAGCTGATGAGAGGTTAGGTCTCCCCAAACTGCAAGCTAGAGCTGTGTACATCAATTGAAGAAACGATAGAGTGAAGTCGGAGGCAACAAGACAAGAAAATCAGTACTATTTTCATTTCATACAAATTCTCATACTCATAATTTAGTTTAAGATCAATTTGGCCCTTTTACCACACTGTGTTTCAAGGACACTGGGATTTAAGGCTTGAACTTGCAGATGTCATAGATATGATACAGTTGATTTTCACACCCCAGATACTAGTCTTGTACATAAAATGCCCTTTGGTTAATACAGGAGAAAACACAACTTAACATACTTTTGAGGGGCCTGTCTTTTTCTTATCAAGCTTTACTTTAACACCTCTTGCTGCACGCCTGAAAAAAAAAAACATAAGCAATTCAGCAGGGTTGAGTGTTTACACTGTTAAGAGTTAACCAGGGAAGTACTCGCGATGAGGAACGTACGTAGCACCAAATTATGTGAATGACGAGATTCTAAAATGAATGCAAACTGAGTAACATTGGGGATAACAGTTTGTAAATAAAAAAAAAAAAAAAAACCCACCAAAAAGCCTTTGTGGCATTCCATAAACCAGCAAACTGGACACTCAAATAAAGTCCGGGATTTTCATGTGGATGATAATGTTGAGAGGCAAGTGCTCTCCGAATCAATCACAATCTCTACTCTCCTGGTAAGATAGGGATAGTTCCTTTCATTTTTTGGCTTTGATTTTGGTCTCAACTAACCCTATAAAAACAAATCCTTTTAATATGCTTAGAAACCTCTCCCCCACATACTTTTCTACAACCTTGTATGATGAGACAGAGTAGGGACTTTTCATCAACATTTTTCATCAGACCAGACAATTTAACAGTTAACGGCATCTTCAATTTGTCCCCCCATAATTAGGTGATTTTGTCACCTCTGCATCCTGAATCCCCGAAGCATAAGAAACCCCAAGGACACAAAGATTGATTAATCGATCTGAAGATGTTTTTGTAGAATATCCTGTTCATGTAATGTCTGTGGCTGTTGCCTGTGGCTGTTGTACAACACATGTTTACAATAGAAGGAATATATGATTTATTTCAGTAAACTGTAATACAGAGTTTTGAAGTCTGTCTGCAGATTACCTGTCTGGTTAGATAAAGGTCCGAGGTTTTTCAATTTAGGACTTTTTTTTTTGAACGGGGTCTCAATGGTTCTGGACTGGGACTCACGATTTTTCACAGGATGAGTCCCAGGCCTCATCATAACTACATTTGTAACAAAATCACTGATTAATTAAGTACATTGTGATAAAAATGTTAGCAATGCATTTGTAAAGAACAAGACAGCTACAAAACCTTTTGCCAAGTGTTACACCAGCAAGCTTGATGAGATCTCTCATACAAGCAGACACCAGCAAAGGCAGCTCATCATCATCAGCAGCCTGATCATAGCTTTCCACCTACGATACGAGGATTTGAGGAAATTATTTCCAGACAAACGTTTGACAGATACACACACCAACACCACCACCACCACTCACCTTCCATTATTATGTCATTCTATAATTTGGAAGGAAAATAACGCAAGAAAGCCCAGAAAAAAATTCCGAGATTCAGGCAAGAATCAAATTCACAATCCCTTGAGTTCTAGTTTGCATGCTAAACACTGCGTTATTGGAGGCTCGATGGCCAGCAGGGTCAAAATTTAATAATACCCACACCAGTCATAGTTATTCTTCATTGTCTGTGCTGAAAGTCTATTTTAATTACAATTAAACTACGAAATGAAAGGAATGTTGTTGACTGGTGGAATAAACAGAAAAAAGAGAACTTTACCTGTTCAACAAGGAACTGTGCATGTCGTAACAGGGTGTCTTCTGTGAAAGTGAGACAATTTACTGGTGGTACTGATGTCTATAGTAAAAAAGGAATGACAAAAAGTTTAATTGAATATTTTTCATACAGCAAGTCAGAGGGAGTATTCATTTTAGCCTCCCCATGTTTTGAGTGAAGACTGATCACAAAATCAGCAGGTGTGGCTCTACATTTTAACACAAGTTGAGCTACGAAAGTTGAGTGCCATGACCCGTAAGAACCCTGATTATAAACCTGGCTTGAGACAATGTGGATCCATGTGCAGACAATGCCTTGAGCCAGCTTAAAAGTCCACAATATCATGCATTAATTAATGTGAAAGTAATCATGGACCCAGAAAAAAGTGTTCCCAAAAAGGTTTCAAATTTAAACACATGAAAGTGCCATTTCTTTCTAGTGTCATAAATCAGAGATCTATGACCCTGAACAGTGCTTTGCAGTCAACAGCAACGTGACTTAAGACTTTTAAAAGCAACAAATGTTCACTGATTGGGAGCTCCATAGTCAACACCTCTGAACATAATTGGTATTGTACAGACTTTCATTTTTCTATTCATTCACGTCATTATTTAAGTGAATTACCTCAACTTTATTCAGTAAATCCTCATATCTTGCCTCTGGATTATTCTGAATAAATTCAATGACAATCTGCAAAAAAAGAAACCGTACTGTTAAACTATTTTGTTTATACTTACAAGTATGTGTTACAAGAATGTCAAACAAATTGAGGAGATTATTTATTTTTATGGTACCTTACTCATAGCAATTTTTTCTCTCATGAGGTTCATAAATGGCATGTACTCCTCTGATGCCTGCATCAGTATATACTCCGCAAAAGCTGCCATCAAATAATAAGATATTTTTAAGTTCTTACTGAAGACTTGGCAGTCATATTACACCCATGAAATGAAAATAAGTAGGGTATGTTGCAAACTCCACTGACAACAGATGAACACTGACATGTAACGAATGCCAGCCTTGTGATCGAAAGAGAAAAAAGACACCATTAAAATGCTCCCGTGATGACACTGTTGAGGCAGTAGGCAGTGTGATAATACTTCTAAAAGACCACAGGAAATGGTTTAATGGGTAGGAGTCCACATCACACTATGGTTGGAGAGAGCCTCAAAAACGCTAAATGTTCCTGTAAGTCTAGCTGTCATTGCATTCAACTCTTCTAAATATCTTAAGCACATGCTTCCATCAGCATGAGCAGAGTGACTGGTCTTTTAAGGCAATAAAGCCCCACTTACTTCTTATACCTGATTCAAACATCCAGATGTAATAATTATTACATATATCTCACTAACCCTGTTTTTGTATCTATAGGCCTGGCAGCACCTAGCAAATGGGTCATACATCCAACAGAAAAAAGTAGTCTAATAACTTACAGTATAGATCTCCTAGTCCTTTATCAAAACATACTATAAACTATAAACACTAGTAAAACTACTACTGTTTATAAAATGCATAATCGTAGATCCAATAATATAAAATGTTCATAAAACTAAAATTGGACCAGCAACCTTACTTAAAGAAACAACATGTTTCACCCCACATATTTGAGACCATGTCTACACAAGAACCATTTTTTGCTTCTTCTGTACTTTTAAAATTGGACAACTTAAGATAACATACAGATACATTTTGGTTACCTGTGGTAAAACCAATAAGAGAATTCTCTCCACCATCAAATCCTGCCACCCACCATTCATTTATAGGTCCAATAGACTTTGTTGGTACACCACCTGACACAAATGGACAACATCTGTCATAAAACGTTCAGCCACTGCATCAAACATTTCAGGGTGGGTGATGGTGTTATTTTACAAAAAAGGCCCTAAAGCACTGTTCATGAGTAGTTCAAAGGTTGTTGGTGTATTACCCAGTCCAAATGGCATTACCACATCGTGGCAAAATTGATTTCCAGCCATGAATGCTTTTTACTTTGTATCTGCAGTACTAACCTGAACCTGCCAACAGCAGCTCTTCAAACTAAAAATTAACTGCCTTTAACTGTTTTGCCCAGATAGTTAAACTGGTCGTGATGCCATCTGGGGATTCAGGGGACACTCTGGGTCAAACCATCCAACTTATTTTTGCTTTATTTTCTTTCATATGAGGACAATGGAGTCTCCACTTGCCAGTGGCTAAACTTTTGTTTCACCTTATCATATAATAGAATTCCCCTGCATTGCTTGTCACGTGTTTACTATGAGACACAGAACATTTCACTTTGGATCTAAGGCAAGCACACTTTGTGCCTTGATATTAAGCCAAGAGGACATTGCAGCCTTGACCAGTTAGAGGTACACCCACACACTATAGAGTTGTGTATTAAATGTGAAGTTTCACAGAGATCTAACAGACACTTAAGGATTTAAACAAATTGGACTTAAGTATTTGACATACCTTCAGGACTTGGATTCTCATCATAGATTGGTTTAAGGTAACCACTGAAGAACAGTTCAATATTCTTCTCAATCAAACCAGAGTCAAATGGACACAGGTGGGTGTTCTTGTCNGTATTTGACATACCTTCAGGACTTGGATTCTCATCATAGATTGGTTTAAGGTAACCACTGAAGAACAGTTCAATATTCTTCTCAATCAAACCAGAGTCAAATGGACACAGGTGGGTGTTCTTGTCATAGATGCTAAATAAAATAGTTAAGGCACAATTTGAGACTGGCCAGATCTTGTTACTTACAAGGTAGGTGCATTCAATGACCATCTTTTCTTGAAAGGGGGCTCTACCTGCAGGCTAACCTGTGTTTTGATATGTAATCAGGCATAGTGACTAACAACGTAAGACATGTGTCAGGGCAGAGATCATCAAGGTCAAAGAACATGTGGCTTTAACTTATAATTCGATTCATAATCAAGTTCAATCTAGGTTTACTCCAAATAATGCACAATACCTGAAATTTGTAATTTTGTGTTGTGGTCTGTCATTATAGCTGTCAAACTGTTCCTCATCACCAGAGAAGAGTGACAAACGTGGATCTGTAAGGGCTACAAACTCCTCCACCTAATGGACAAAGCTTTTTATAATTTTAAGAGCGCCATAATACAGTACATATGGAAATGCCTCGTAAATGTTACAGGGGCAGAAATAAGTAGTTTCATTAATTTCATCTATTAAATTTATTTTTCTTTCTCAACCAAAAGAAAAATTCCCAGCACCTCTAAGAAAAAGGAAGCCCTAAATTCTCTTTTGAAAGTTAGTAAAATAGCATTGGAAGATATCTTTTCACTTGACACTGAGCAATGTGCCCAAAATCTAGTGGTATATGTCTGAAACAGTCATTTAAAAGTGGATTCTTCTTAGTATAAGTGAAATACCAACTAGATGACATCAGCTTTTGTCGTCATTTTAAAAGAACGATGCAGAACAATTTTGTGTAAGATAAGAAGCCACATTCTCTTTTTAGTATAAGAACAGCTGAGAAACCAATGTGGGCAGTTCTGAAAGGGTGAACCATCAGTAGGAAAGAAATACTCTAAAAGGACTGTAAGTACATGTATTTTAAGGGCAAACTAAAAAAGGAATAATGTGTCCAGTTGTAAGATCAGTCGTGGATACAAGTGTTGCAGGGATTGTCAGCAAAACGTAAAAGTATTTTTAACTACCGGTAAATAATTAAATATTTTTTTACTGCGGACTTCCAGTATAATGTTTTTAAACTTACAGCATCATCACTGTCACCAGGGAAGAGCCTCAGGTCAGGACTGGTTAGCAGCTGCTTACATTCCTTACACTTGGCAGGAGGCTGTAAAAGATGGAGTGAGTGACATTGTACAAAATTCCATGTAATATGAAAGGTATTGGTTATATTCAAGACTGGTATCACCACTACATGCAGCTGCAAGACATAGGCCGTTGACAAAACCTAGATGGGACCAGATGGGATTAACCCGTGAAACCAATATTCCTAACCTTTTTTCATTTAGTGAAATACGGGGGTTGATCTGATCCGGCCCGATCTAGGTTTTATCAATGGCCTATGTCTGGCAGCTTCATGTACCAATGATGCAGGTCTTGAATATATCAGGTAAATTTCATTTAACATGAAATAGTGTCCCTTAGTGCCTGAAATTATACTGGGTTCAAAGCAAATAAATTATGATTATTATATCCCCCTGACTGCTCATAGTAATTAATCTTTGTTAGATCATGGCTACAGTTGGTAAAACTGTTCTTACAGTCTATCAGGCTAAAAAAGTAAATAATTTCAATAGCACAAGTATAAAGGTAAGCAAGAAATACCTTTCTGCTTTAGTACCTGTATTTTTTTCTCCCCAGGTTTTGTTGTCTCAGATGATTCTCTTAAGCTATACCTACAACAAAAGAATATCCAGTAGCTCTCTTTTGACTGAAAAGCAAGTCTTCAAAATAGCAATAGAAGATATCAGATGTACACCATGTAAATTGGTATAAAACAACAAGCATGTTGATTACAGGTAAAATTAACGCTTGAATATGCTTCATATTGAAGCCTCAACTAGCCATTGCCACCTGAAGGTAAAAATGTTTTGTAACAATAACTAATCATCAGAATAAAGTTCTTAGAAACATCAGGATCCAGGAAACTTTGAACAAGGAACATTGTGAGAAAGAAATACTATAATCCAAGAACTGACAAAGGCTTTGAGTGGTATGGCTTTTATGTCAAAATAAAAACAACAGGAGGTGGGGGGTGACAAGTTGAAATTCACCTCTCATTTCCTGTATCCTCCACTGTGTTCTTCTCATCATCATTATTGTCCAACAGTCGTTGACGTTTTACATCCTGTGTATTGAAAAACATCTTACTTTTATTACTTAATATGGCTAAGAGCTACTAGCTGCAGCCCAAACATAGGAATACACCAACAACAATGAACAAGCAGGTCATAGTTTCAAAGCCTATCCTAGCATAAAGTAGGGACAGTAAAAACCATGGTTTTTATTGAGTCCAGCAATTATCCTCCCTGCATTTCCTTTCTATTTTGAAATACTTAACTGTCAATGCACAAAATCTTTATACATGTGTGTATCAGCATTTATATGAGTTTCAAACTTCATAACTTTTTGGGAGTCCTCCTCCAATTACTTTCTTAGTATAACATAATGTGTATCATGGCACTGGGATGGGGCAAAGAAAACTGAAGAGTCCGACAGCATCCAATCCAAGAATCCAAAGCTAGTGGTCAGACCCTCTCTCAACTGCGCTTAATAGACAAATAAAATGGCAAGCAAAGCCATCTAGAGCGTACTGGAATCATATGAGCATCCTACAAGTTGCTAGGATCAACAATGTTCAAAGCAACGTCTAATTGGTTATAAAAAAAGGATGGTGAAAGATAAACTTAGTGAGACAAAGACGTATTCTGACCCATTCACTGACTACTTTATTTTCTTGATAAATGATATAAATGTATCATCCTGAATACTTGCACTTGTATAGTTTCTGGTTGAGTACTAGGACAGAAAGATTATTACTACATACTTTTCCAGCATCAGCATGATCACAGTTGTGAGATGATGACTCCCCCTCACTGCTGCTGCTACATGCGTTTCCATCATCTGTCTGCTTTCTTTTTAACGAGCTGCAAATTTATTTCAGGTTTTATGCAATTTCAAGTTAAGATTCACAAAATACACTTTGTGCTTTCTACTTACTAACCCTGGATCTTAGGCAAAATAACCACTCTCTTCACCTGGGATCTTAGGAAGGAAACCATACAATTCAGTATCTTGGGAGGTATAAAGATACTACTCACCAAACTCTTAGGCAGGATAACTATACTACTCTCAAAGAATTTTAGGTGGGATATATAACTGAGCTATTCAACCAGAATCTAATGTAGGATAACCATACTACTAACCTGAGATCTTAGGCAGGATAACCATACTACTAACCTGGGATCTTAGGCAGGATAACCAAACTACTCACCTAGGATCTCACGCGGGATAACCACACTACATGTACTTAACTGAGATCTTAGGTGGGACAACCATATTACTCACCCGGGATCTTATGCAGGGTAACAACACTACTAACCCGGGATCTTAGGCGGGAAAAAGGCAATGATACTTACCCACCCAGGATCTTAGGCAGGACGACCATAGCACTCATCCGGGATTTTAGGCACTATTATCTCTTAATTAAAATTTTTAGCAGGATAGCCAGTTTTTTTCAATGGGGATCTTACCTCATAGTTTTCACACATTTTGTTATCTGAAGTCAGGGTTTTTTTCAGCAGCTAAGGTAGAAATGTTTCTGGGAACATCAAGAAACTTAAGGGAAGTAACTCCATCGAAGATTCGGTCCTTAAGTCCTCATTCGGTCCTTTTTTAAATTAATTATTGTTTTAGCAGCAGTCTAATGCTTAGTAAGTTTGTAGAGCAAACTCACCCTTTTGCAAACATCTCTTTGATTCCAGGTTGCCTCTTACAGTCTTTTGTTGATTTAGGTTTATTCTAAATAAATAATAAAAAATAATTAACAATAAAAAATTAACACAAAAATAATACTTCTACAAGTGCACAGTTTTAGAAATATAACTCATGTGCCCACAGATCATTTTTTGCTCTGGTATTGATGCATTCTGAGAAGCCTGTGGATACAACAGAAAAGCTCACAGCATCCTACCTTGCCAGTTAAAGCCATACGTACAACAGCAAGCTTTTAATTTTGACAAAGTAACAACAAACTTTTACTAATCACAATTCTTATAGCTACTGGCAGATTTAAAACCTGTGCAGTTTTTTAAAACCTATATATGATACATGAGGGAATTCATTGTTGACACTCAATTCACTATGTGTTTGTCGGCATGTAACGCATGAGTAGTAAAAAAATCAAAAGTTTGTCTCCAGTATTATTTAAATGTATGTGCGTTAAGTGTCAAAACTTATAAGTGTATTTGTTAGAATACTTCCAAAAAGAGTTCCAATGACAAACAATAGTTTTACAGGTTTGCATTGCAATTGTATGCAAAATTTTGGCATGTGCCAGTTTGATGCTTGTCAGCTTTTCACTGACACATTACACCCCTACACAAAGAAATAGCTTATACACACTAATGAGTCTAAATCTGCACTGAGGCATTTTGGAGCAGATGTGTATGTGCCTCAGCTCAGATTCAGGGACATGTCTGGCCTGACATATGTATGCATATTTCCAGACAGGTGTTATGTGTATAATTTGTTTTGCTTACAGCTATAGTTCCGATCTACACTGTATTTAACAGTTTGTAATCAGACAGCAACTTGTGCCAAAAATAACAGAAAATTATAACAACACATGACATTAATATAATTTATACATGTAACATATTAATACACATTTTGAATCAATATCTCTTGGGTATGGTCACATTGCGGGGACAAAACAAAGGTCACAAGTGCAGGTTGACTATTTGATATGCAGTTTACCCTTATAAGAGTGGTTTTCGTTTGAGTGTCGTAAAACCAAAACCAAAGTAATTACTCTGGCCAATCACATAGGACACAGACAATACATTGAACCAATTAAAACTCGAAGTAATTACATGTGGCTGACGCAAAGCGCGGTGTCACAATTGGCTTTGGTTTTACTTCTGATTGGATGAAAAGGTGGCGCGAATCTTTTAAGCCAATCGCATCGTGTAGAAAGTGCAAAACCAATTACTTTTCGACACTCAAATGAAAACCGCTCTAAAGCTAAATACTCTATTTCGGATTGTGATTAGGGCTAAGAGACACTTGTAGTGTTGTTTATTTAGCTTAGCACAGTGACCTGTACTCCAACCTGACTTTTGACCTTAGTATTTGTATCTGCCCAATAGTCACATACACATACCTTACAAGTAGCTGTAGGAGATTCTTCTTTTGTCAGCAAAGTTGATTCTAGAAACCACATATAAAACAGGAAAGTAAAAAGAAGGCAACAATGAAGTGGGGTAATTCACAAGCAATGTATTTTACCTTCTGCGGTAGACTTTGAAGACGATGCTTGTACATCATCTTGAATAGGATGGGCAGCAGATGATGATTCACCAGCACTGGTCTCAACAATTGAACCGTCTGAGTCCATGGTTTCATGGCGACTTGATCCTGACCTTACATTACCACTGTTGATTCCAACATTCCCCTGTTCAACCTCAGATTCCTCATATCCTGTCTCCATAGGTTCTTCTTTAACTGCTGCAGCTGTACCATTCTGAATATCATCATTATGCACGGGAGACTTTGGTTTAACATCACAGCCATTGGTAGCCCTGTGACCAATACCAGACAGCAGTTCCTTAAGATCTTTTATCAGTTGCTCCTGTGGCAAAAAAAGTTTGGAATTGTCACATTCTTTGCTACAAGGGAGGAGGGCAATGGATTTTCCCCAAGCTATAATATGGTTAGTTCAGGCTCCTAAAACCCTTTATGCTCTAATATAAAACTGAATGTATACTGTTTGTGCTATTTAGGGTAACTTTCCATCACAGTCTCATGATTGTGAGACTATGGCGGGTTAAAAATACAGGTCACTTTCCACAAGTCAGGGTACAGGTCACCATAGATGCTACAGATAAATAAACAGGACCCAAGGTGTCTCCTTGCCCTAACCTCTTTACAAAATCATTATTTTAGATAATGAGAGGAAACTGTATGGCTTAGTAATTCATCACCCAAGATTGCTTGCCCTAATCTCTTTACAAAATCATTTTTTAGATCAATCAAGAGGAAACTGTATGGCTTAGTAATTCATCACCCAAGATACCTTGCCATAATCTCTTTACAAAATCATTTTTTAGACCAATCAAGAGGAAACTATATGGCTTAGTAATTTATCAGTAAAGCAGTGACTTCTACTCTTGACCAGAGGAATGTGAACAGTACTTTAGACCCTGCACTCGTGATTTAAGGTTAACAACTTACTTCAGTTGATTTTCCATCTTTGAAATCACCCTCTATCTTTTCAATTCTAGAATTAATGGAAAAGTAAAGTAAAATATTTTAAAAATTCAATGCAATACACTTCTCAGTACAAAAAAAGCAAGCCCTAGGCATAAAATCCTTTGCCCAAGTTTAGCTGTTATTGGAGTGAACAGTTTGAACTGTGGAGTCATTTCATAAGTAAGGTGGAATATGATTGTCTGGGGAGGGTAGTCCTGAATCCTGTTGTTGGCATGCAGTGACTGATGTTTCCACAAACTGTGCAATAGTTTGACTTCAGAGTCAAGAGGAATAGAGTTATTGTTGTTGTTGTTTTTTATAAACAATATTTAATACACCATTTGCTCTAAGAGCCTAAAGGGTTCATCTTGAGAGCTTATGCTGTTTACATTGAATATTTTAAAGATAAAAATGAACATCATGATCAAACACACACTCGAACATAAAAAAAGCGAAAGAATAAAAAGAAAAAAACAAAGATAAAAATAAAAAACACACACAGCAACTAACAGAAGCAATTTGATAGCGAAATAAAGGACTGGACAAGCTGAAAACAACCTAACTTTAAATTGAAAATCAGCATTAGAAATACCATTTAAAAGCCAATCGATTTTATTCTTATCTGAGGCACCATGCCATCTATTTCCAAGTAACTGTGCAGCGGAGGTAAACAACATTTTACAAAGAGCAGCAAAACTTGGGGACATAAAGTTTCCCACTGACTAGATTTAAATATTTCAATACGACTCACCTTTCCTGCACTGTCTTTGCCAAAATGGATTTTATCAACTTGCACTTTTTTCTCACATAGCCCTGTTTTAAGGAGGATTTATGAAAGAGAGAAAGATGTTTAACGTGTGCAGCTTAAGCATCACTGTCAAGGAATAGCAAGCAATCTTTACTGTTACCATATCAAAATATGGTTCACTTTGAAAGACTATTGTTGGGAGAATAAGTCATCTAAAGTGGACACGTCTTTTTACTGTCATATTAGGGAGGACGCATTCGGAAAGCAGAAGATATCTGATGATTTTGTCTGCCAGTTGTCTGTCTGTTAGAGTCATGTTGATCGATAATGATGTTAAATTTTGTCAAAAAGACATGGTCACATCACAGTAGCAAATAATTCTATAAATGACTGACAAACATTTTGATAAAACAAGATTTACACCCTTTAAATTTCAGATCTTGTGTCTTATAAGGGGTATTGACTGCCATATAGTACACTCCTCTAGAGTGATTTGCATTAGGTTGATGCATTGACCAACACTTGACCGATATATTGACCAACACGTGGCCGACACTAATATTGGTCAATTATTGACCAATAAAGCCAAACCTCTCCATAATGACCTCCTTGGAGACAGAAGAAAGTGGCCATTGTAGAGAGGTTGTTGTCATAGAGAGTCAATTTTATGTGGAGAGGTGGTCATTAGTGAAGGTTTGACGGAAGAATACTTGATCATCACCCTTCTATCGCCCTTCCATTTTGTCCATAATTTCATGGGTAGTAAAGTTCTCAACCAGTAGTTAGGTCATGTGATCTAGAGTAGCTACCACAATATTGCATTAACTGATTAAGAGTAATCCTATTGGAGGAATTTACAATATCAGTGGAAGAAATTTTGCAGGCTGATCACTCAATTGATAACATTGTGTTAGTATTTCTGCTTGCACTATGTGCGAATAGGTAAAATGACTGGCGCAAAAGATTTAGCTGCCATGGTGTCTTTTTCCCCAGATAATGGGGGCAAATGTGGGTCCAAAAAATTTAAACTACAGATTGATGAAAAAAAGAACTGTCTACACTCTGTAACTATTCAAATCAATGGTCTGTAAACCGGCAATATTTAATATTAAACAGTTGTGAGAATTAAATGGTTCATCAAGGTGTCACGAACACGTTTTACAGACTGTTAAGGAGGATTAAGATGTTGATCGCTCATTATGAGCAAGATTTGGGAAAGTTTTATGTACAAGCACAGTGAATCACATTGCGATCACGATTATACGACACAATAAACAAAGGTTAATGAGAAAGGCCATTTGGACCTTTGATCGCACAATCTTTGGATCTTCTAGAGACCGCAATTTTGCTGTCCCGTTTCTCAAAGATTTTTCACCAGTGCGTTCACAGAGGCTGTTCAGTCACTCATTCGAGCAAGTTGTGCATAAATGACCGAGAGCACATGATCGACCCACCTTCTCGGTTATATCACCATCCCTGTATTCTTCCTCCAGTTCTGATAGTCTGCAAAAGAAAAGATAGGGTTATCTTTACCTAAAATGATACTTAAAACCTCCAGGATAAAAAAGTAAACGCATCGATCGCGTGCAGCGCTTGCAGCTGAGGGCTTAAATTTACGGACAAGTTTGTTCAATATTTCAATGATTTCAACAGAACCGCCATATCTTACCTCTCAGAGATTCCTGGAGGAAATTCAGCTTCTGTTTTATGAACCATTCTTTCAAAAGCACAGAAAGGACCGATGGAAAACAAGCACCACACCTCTTGCAACTCGCTGATCGGCGCTGATCGAGATCGATCGAGGACAGCTCGATCTCGTGGAATGTTTTGTTGTCGATTTCCCGCCAAAAGTCACTCGCGCAGGCGTTGCGCGGTTACCCGTCTCCACTCCACAGAGTAAATGCGGCCATTTTGCTTGGTTCACGTGACAGTCCAAAATGAATGCAAAAGTTGAGGATTTAACGTGACGTCTTGTTATCCTGTATGGGTTCCCAGAGCCAGTCCGATTCCAGTCAACTTACTTCCCTAATTGTATCCTTTCTTTTACTAATGCTGTTAAAACACAAAGTAGCTGCTCATGACCTGCTCATGCAGAATCGTTGGAGACATCATTTGTGTTTCAACAGGTTTCAATGTGTTCATTGCTGAGACCTGGATTGTAGTTTTGATGTTTGAAATACTGTAGCTTTATAGGCGAAGACGGCCAGCGAGTAGCTCAATTGTTATCCATGCAAATTTTTCAGTGCATGCAGTGCCTAAATACGATCTGCACTGTAAGTGTAATTACAATTTTGGATCTTGATAAAATCAGCTTTAATTTATTAAGGTTAATAATAAGTTTTTGCTCATATGGGCTCAAGTTAGGTTTGATATAAGCTTAAGCTTAATTTTACTCTACTTTTGACTGAAAAGGTGTTGTGGCCTTTCTTTTTCTTCTGAGCTTTAGACCCTGGAAACCAATATTGATTGTTGAGCAAACATTTACGTATAGAAGTGAAAGTACCAATTCATCAAATTTTACAAAATAACTAAGGTAGTACGCTCGTTCTGATTGGTTAAAAACCTATGGTTCATTTTGCCAGTAAACTCATAGAAAACTTAAATTATTTTATAAAAGCAATAGACCACACTTACTATGGGTTTACCAGCATGATAACCCACTTGGGATTTTGGGAGAACACTCGAAAAGCTCATAAATCGCGCGCCGAAGGCGAGTGATTTACAAGCTCAGGGGCCGGTTGCTCGAAGCCTGGTTAGCGCTAACCGTTGGTTAAGAGGTATCAAAATGTATAGGTTTCCATGGTATTTAACGCTGGTTAGCACTAACCATGCTTCGAGCAACCCGGGCCAGGGCGCTTTCCATTTTGTCCTAACTGTCCAACCAGATCAGTCAAATCCTAAATAGTATGCACAAGGGTTTTTCAGCAAGAAAAACTCTTGGAAAGAGGCTAATTCATTGTCAAAATAACTGGTCTGGCTGGCCAGTTTGGACTTATGGAAAGTGCCCTCAGTTTAGGTAGTGGCTTGGGCCAAATTTTACTTCTGAATTTTAAGTTAAGCAGCAGGGCTGTCTCCCCCCCCCCCCCCCCCCCCCCC